CACTCTGTCTGCACCCCTTCCATGGCCCAAGCAGCCCCCGAGGGAGCGAGCTGTGAGGAAGGATGAGTCTGCAAGCCCCTGCAGCCCTATCAGGGTCAGGCCTTGGGTCCGAGCCCCGAAGGGCCGTGGCGCGGGGTGTCCCCTGTGACACCGACGAGGGGGCGGAGCCAGAGCCAGGGCCATGCTGGTGGTTAGTGGAGAAGAAGGCCCGGGACACGGCTTCTCCCCGATCAAACCAACCCAGCCACGTTTGTCCTTCGTCTTTACGAGGCTCCGCACCTAGCATGAGCCCCGCACGCAGGGCCGCAGGACACGTCTCCAGAACAGAATCGTCACCACGACCGCTGGAACTCCCCCTGAGGTGGAGTTACAATCGGAAACCGCCTCAAAGTACTCGGCCTTCAAAGCTTAAGATGGTGGCTTGGGGTTGTATGGACCGATATTAAGATATTTTAAACATTTTTTTGGTGTGTGTTTTTTTTCTTCTTTGTAATTAGAGGAGAGGAGGAAAATTTCATTCCCATCGCGATGTAGCTGCCCTTTCACACCATCAGCGAGGTTTTCTCGTGCCTCCGCCAACAGAAACTCTGTCTAGTTGGGCTGATTTTGCTGACTGGCCTCCTGCTCACCCACGGCAGCCTTGGGGGCCCGTGGGCGCCCAGACGCAGCCCAGGACGGACAGGGCTGCGGAAGAGGGGTTTCCGGCTCTGCCCCTGTAACTCTGCACAGGTTCCGTGCTCCTCAGCAAAGGGACCTTCCCGGAAGTTCCAGAAGGCTGACGGGAGGTTTGATTTTGTTTTTTAGCAAAATTACGAAGGAAAAGAAAAATCAATCCGAGTGAACGCAGAAATCCCAACTCACTGGCACACACGCAAACCAGCGCCATGCCATGCACTTTCTTACAGACGTGACATCCCCAGCACCAGAGCTGTTAAAGGGCCCCAGTGCGTGTAATTGGCCTGGTGGACATTTTTCTTAGCTCTGCACAAGCCCCCCACCCCCCCCCGTGCCTGTTCCTCATTGAGTAAACTTGCTCATGAATGAAGGTCTTGAAACTAAAATATATGGATCCCAAAGGGCAACTTTCCAATTACCTAGTCAGAATGTTACACCGCTACTGGTTTCCAGCAAGCCAAGCGAGGCTGCTCATGGCCAGCCCTCTGGTACTGGTAGGGCTCAGGCCCTAGACGGTGGGGCACACCTGGGATGCCTTCAGCCGGTAACTCAAGTCCCCCAGCTGTTGTTAATGACCATCACTTATCGTCCAGAGACAACATGGGAAGGGGACTCATTGAAAACTCTACAAAGACTCTGTTAATAGTCTATTATTGCAAAGTTCATGGTGTGTGTGTGTTTAAATTTGGAAGGTTCCCTAACTCTGTAGCAATAAAGTTTTCTTCCAAGTCATACCTGAAAAATCACTTCCCGTGGAAGTATCCGCTGATACAAAAACAGTTTTATGAAATGTATAATATTTGCTTGGCGATATCCTAACAGATTAGCCACGTGCTGATGGGACTCAGGTGCAGAATAAGAGACCTGAGCTCGGGTCTAGAGGTGAGGTCTGGAAGGACATGCCTGGGGCGGCGTTGGGGTCACCCCAGATGAGCAAGTATCTCACTCTACCCGCAGGCCTGGGATGAGACAAAGCGGCCGAGGATGGAGCTGGGCCCTCAGGTCAGCTCAGGGATGGACGGAGGTGGAGGTGCTCCAGATGGGCCACCAGGCTTTTGAGGGCAAGGTGTGCAGTGCCAGCAGCCCACCTTAATGGGCGCCGTGAGCCTGTCTTCCAGATGGAAAGAGAAGAGACACAGAGAGAGGGCTTCTTGCTGAAATGTTCTGGTCTGAGTGATGAAAGAGGCAGCTTGCCCTGGATTCTAAAAATCCACGTGCCACGTACATAAGGCACCTATAGCAAAATGGAGTACACAGAGAACCAAGTCTCCAGATTTACATTTGAGGAAAGTTCACATCTGAACACTGACAATTTCCCAAGTCACTTTTTCCCTTAAGATAATGGGGCATTTGGATGGAAAGGGAGACAGAGAGGAAAACTGCTTGGACTGAACTGCGGGTAAGGCTGAGACTCTTATGGACGATCCACGAAGCCTTCCAAGCTTTTAAATGGACCGGCTGGGTAAGATGACAGCTCAAAATGGGGTGAAACGTTTCAAGTTAAAAATGAATGCGAGATTTGTTAAAAGCTGAGCTTAAAACCTTAAGGAAGACTGGGTTTAAAAATTTTCCAGCTTTAATGAATCAAGCACCCCTTTGATAGTACAGCCCAGCTTAGTCAGGCAGGGCTTGTGGCCCAGCCGTGCCCCATGGGGGCTGATGGGGTGAGAGGAGCGGCTTCCTTCTGCCCCAGATCAGACCCCATGGCCAATTCCAGAGGCCTGAGTAGGAAATCTGTTCTTGGAGCGTTCATGCAAAGGAGCCCCACCTGAGCCCAGATCGGTGCTCCCGGAAGGTGCCCAGCTGGGCCCTGGCAGACCTGGAGGCGGCCACGCACCGCGTCCACGGCCCCTCCCGAGGAGGAGCCACAGTCCAGTGCGTCCCCTGCCCCAGGCCCTGCGGTGCCTGCCTCCTGCACTGTCCTGTCCCGGGCCCTGGAACTGGGTGGCAGGCACCCTGAGGCCGCCCCCGAGGCAGGTGGCCTGGAGAGCTGGGCGGGCAGAGACACATCAAAGTCTCCACTTTCACCCTGGGAAGGCAGCACTCAGGCAAAATGAGCGGATTGTTTTTCCACCTTCTTTGAAATGAAAGCTGGGAGGAGGACCCAACTCCGGCCTTTGCGTTGGCAAAGGAAAGCCCTGTGGCTGCCTTTCTGTTCCCACCCTTACAATTAGGCGGGAGGCCGAGCTGCTTCCTGAAACAGGATCTGCAGTCCAGCCCCCACTCCGGGCGGGACGCGCTGCCCACCATGGCCTGGCCGGAGGGACAGGACAGCCCACCAAGGCAGCGAGTGGTGGGGGACACGGGGGGTGGGGGGTGGGGCGTGTGTGGTGAGGTACTGGCTGGCCCACACAGCTCTGCTCCTGCAGCCCAGTGGCCCGGAAAGCGTGGTCCAGGCTGGGGTCCCTGGGCACCACCGGGAAGGTTGGTGAGACCAGGGCGAGGCTGAGCTACAGGCGAGGGCTCTCGGGGCAGCCCGGGCCCCGTCACCCATCACCAGCCGTCCTGAACAGCAGCCTGCGATCATTTGTTCCCTCTGGGGATGGGCTCCACGCGTAACTTGGAGTGAAAACAAGTGTTTTCCAATGTATGGCCCACCTTTCCCAGGCTTGGCCCATCACCCTGGTGGGTATTTTAGGGGATGGTGCTTTTCAATGCCTCTGGGTGGGAGGGCGCCAGCTCCGGCCCCGCCCACTCAGCATGTCAGCTGCCATCTGCACCTTCAACGACTGACGTCAGGAGAGGCCAAAATGCTGACATCTGCTCCTGAAGTTTGGTTTTAAGTGCTTTCTCAGGAATGCGAGACTCTACCTGGACCATCGTTCGGAAAATGCTTGCCATTTCTAGAGCAGGACATTTGCTCATTTAGGAAAAAATTAGGAAGAGAAAATAAGGCCTGGACTCCTGCACCAGGTCTTTTTTTTTTTTTTTTTTTCGGTTCATTGGGCCCCTCACTGTTGTGGCCTCTCCCGTTGCGGAGCACAGGCTCCGGACGCGCAGGCTCAGCGGCCATGGCTCATGTGCCCAGCTGCACCGCGGCATGTGGGATCTTCCCGGACCGGGGCACAAACCCGTGTCCCCTACATCGGCAGGCGGACTCTCAACCACTGCGCCACCAGGGAAGCCCTGCACCAGGTCTTATGTGTGCCTCAGCCTTCCGCTCCCGGGAGCAGCCCCTGCGTCCTCCTTCCCTGCATCCCTGTCTGCAGTGCCTCGGGCCCCGGTGGCCCAGTTCCTACAACGGGAAGCACAGTGATGACTTAGCAGCTAGGTGTCTGACAGCTGCCGCTTTTGTCCCCAGAGGAAACTAGTTCCAAGCTCTTAAACTGGTACACTTCAATTTACTTTCTTTATAACAGCCAAACTGCAGAAGAGCGGTAAAACTTTTTTATGGTTTAACTCGAGGCAATTATGATCGCACGCAATAGAATCCATTCGGTTCAGTTACTTAAAGGAAGAGCCTAAAACACAAATGCAAAATTTCTGGCAGATGCAGAGCAGAGAGGGAATTTCTGGGAGGGGACTGAAATACGCATCTGGGGGCTCTTTCCTGCACTTGTTCACCCTGTCCCGCAGTGGGACTCACGTGGGCCCTGACCTTGGAGGCCTGGTTTAGTCATCATTTCTAAAGTGTTTCTGGGGAGACAGAAGTGAGCGTGCCTTCAGGAGAACGGGTGAGCAGAAAAAACTGGACGTGGTCACAGAGCTACAAGAAAAATGCAAGGGGAGCGTGCAGAGGGGTGGAAGCTGGTCCCACAGGGCCACCCCGTCCCTGGGCTATACCTCCTCCCGGGGACTCTGACCTCCCATGCGAAAGAGCTCGGGAGCCACCCCCAGAGAGCTGGAAAACTCACTTTTTCTCAGTCAAGTCATTTTTCACGGGCTGTCAAGAGAGCCGCATCTCACCACGGGCTCCTTGGCCCCTGCCACCTCTGTCCTTCCACGTGTGACCCCTGAGAGGGTCACAGCAGAGTCCGTTAGACTGCATCACCTTCCCCAGCGAGGGGCACCCTCTACAGCCGCAATGGAAGCTACGGACGGGCAAGCAGACCTGGAGCCTGGTCTCTCCTGTTTACTTCTTGGCCCCCAGCCCCCCGTGGAATGTCGCCCATTTATCATCCCTCAGAGTCCAGCCTGGGCTTTCTAGAACTGATGTGCTGACCCCAAGGACGAACCTGCTGTGCTTTCGCTTGCATTTCAACCGGAATAGAAAGTCGCCTCCAGTGAACACCCTTCAAATCCAGCCAGTTTGTGATCCAGGCCCACAGCACGACCGTCAAAGAACTTGACCCTCCACAGACCTCCCTCGGGCATGAATTACTTACATTCGTTCTGCACACAGAACCCAAAGACCCCCGAAGCTCTCTCCCCATCACGGCTCAGGCTCAGGCTCGAGGTCCCGCAGTGCGCTTCCCAAGGCAGGTCCAGATCCATCTCGGTGTTTCCTCATGAACAGCAACTCAGGCCCAGTTTCTCTTGTTCTGAAGACCTGTGAACCAGAGAAAAGAGTGCCGTGACCCACCCATTCAACAAACAATGTGATATCAGGGTAGGAAAGCTCCACGTAACACGCTCCATGCAAAGCAGGGAGGAGAGAAAGCCTGTATCAGCAACTGGTCCATGGCAATTTGGAAACCCATCCAGGCCACATCTCTGGTTCCCCGATTACAGCCAAGTCCTACTCTTGGGGAGGGGCTCCCAGTGGCTCCTAGTCAGGAGCTGTTGGGAGCAATGCCCTTAAAATTCTTAAAAGCCCCATTGTCTAACTGAGAAAGTCTGCAAGGCCTGCCTTTAAAGCTCTTAGAAGCCCTGCAAGGTATATCCTTACATCTTTCTAAGGTCTGGAAAGAAGTCTTAGAGCCACACCTTGGGATGGTCACCCTGAGGCCATGCTGCGCAGACAGTGCCCTGGATTTTATCTTTGTCCTAAAGCCACGTCTCACTGTGAGTCACTTTTTCTGGGAGACAGTGGCAAGGAGACACAGTTTCGTTATCACACCCAGAAAGCCCTGGTCCCTTTATATTTCCCTAGTCCATCTGTCTCTTCATACAGCTTATCGCAGGCAGCTGGAAGAAGCCAGTGGCGTGTTCTATCTTCTGCCTGGCGTCTCCTCAGCCAGGGCCTTGGGTTCATTGTGTATCCTATTTTCCACGTTGCTAAGGGTGACAGTGTTGCTAAGCTTTCTGTCCAGCCTCCAAATAATATTTTCCTCACTTTCCTCCAAGCTCTCATCAAGTCTCTTTGAGGTTCTTCTGGCTTTTATTAACGCTCTTCCCAAGGTCCTCCCAGCTTTGCCCAATGCTTCATCCCCAAGCCAAGGCCATGTGTTAGGTTTTTGTGAGGGCAGGAGCCCACTTCCAGGTACTAAATTTTGTTCCGGTTATCTATGGCTGCATAACAAATTACCCCCAAACTTGGGGGGTTTAAAACAACAATCATTTTTACTGTTTTCCACAATTTTGTGGATCCAAAACTTGGATGGAGCCCACTGGGTGATATGATTTTTTCCTCCACTGGGTCAGTTGGTGACACTCAGCTGGTGTGGGGGCTGGTCTATGGGGGCCACACGGCTGGCACGTAGGTGGAGATGGCAGGAAGGCCAGGATCAACAGAGACTGTCAGCCAGAGTCCCTACACGTGGCCTCTCCAGCATGGCAGTCAGGATAGTCAAGGGCATCACCTGACAGCTCATTATTCCAGAGAGACTATTCCTAGAGACTGTGTAGTCTGCCATTGTCTTCAGATGTGGGTTTGGAAACTGGCACGACATGACTACTGCCACCTTCTAGTGGACACAGTAGTTCACTCAAGTCTTCCGTTCAAAGCCCTCACCCAGCTCTCCAGCAGGACCTGCCCACTCTCCTCCACACCCGCCGCCGGCGGACTCGGATGCACCTGTGTTGTCCCGAGCCTGTTCCCAGAACCCCACACACCTTCTTCCAAATCCTACCGTGTTTTTAGGACACAGCTCAAATCTTTTCTGGGTGAAGAATTTCCAAGATCTCAACGGCAGGGCTTGCTCCCTCTCCTGCCTTTTACGGGAGGGTTTACATTGTCCAAACCCCTCATTCGACACCACACGCCACTGTCAATAGGGGTTTGGTTGCTTTTGTCCCCCACGCGCTCACATCGCAATCTTCCAAGGTGAGCTGGTCATGGCTGTTCTCACGAGGCCATGCATCTGACAAAAGCACAGCCAGCCACCGGCCAGCCTGGAAAGAGGAGGCAGAAAATGCAGCCGCCCCCAGCTGCCCCCTTCTGGCCACTGCCCACCCCCCTGGCACACACGCCCCCATTCCAAGCTCTTTCCCTCACTCACCAGATGCTCACTGGTGCAAACCCACCTCAGCGAACTCCCTGTGCCACTGTCAACCCTGAGGACAGGGGCCCGCAGTCCCTGGGCAGCCTCAGCTCCGCTCTGTCCCTGGACCAGCGCTGAGGCTTAGGGCACACGTCCTGGCTGCTCGGATCTTTGTTCCTTATCTTTCCTGATAACTGGGAACAACGATCAGGACGGACATAAACATAAAAATGAGAATTTCTCGGGCTTTGCCTGTGATCACTTGGGAGAAAAACCCAAGGTGCCCCCCACCCAATGCCCTGCAAGACCAACGCCCTGCAGCCCTGGTCTGCAGAGAACCAGGGTGGACTCTGCTGGGACATCAGGGGGCCCAGGAATCAGGAAAGCTGCCGAAAACAGCAGAGTCGGACTGGAAACTTTGGCTAAAACCTGGTGCTGCTTTTCCTGAGTGCTGGAGGCCTGACAATGAGCTGAACGGACAGCCAGCGAGAGCCCGTTTAATGGCTTATTTGGCGAGGGCTACTCTCCTGAAATTAATTATCAATCATTTCTCATCATTCTTAAATGGCGTTTGTTAATCCACAAGGCTTGTGTTGGGGGGGTGTTCCCCAGGCCACTCTGAGGAACCTGAGAGGCGTCCAGACACCTGGGCAAGGCTGGGCGCTGCATCTCCTGGCCCGGCCCCGGGTCACGGTGATAATCCAGCCACCGTTAACCCGCCTGAAAAGCCACACCCCCAATGCGCGCCTCGCCTGGGGCAGGGGTGCGCCTGGCGTGTCCTTTTGCACAGCCAACAGGAGGGGCTCGGGCAGGAGGAACAGGTGCTGACGTGGGGAGCGCCGTTCCCGCCGTGGCACATCTGGCCAGGGAGGCGCAGGGCCTCCTCCAGGCCCCGTGGGCCTGCAGGTACTGACGTCAGCGCTAGAGGAGCAGCCAGGCGTGCGCACACGCGGAGACCTGGCCAGACACTGGGGTGACGAGGAGCCCAGCCAGCACCTCTGTCCCCGTCCTCGCCCGCCAGCATCCACCACCCTGCCAGGCTCACTGGAGCGGCCCTGTCTGCCCGGAGGGACGCTCTTCGTAAAGCCCACCACACCTCCCCTGCCCCGGGGCACTTCCTGATGGACCAGAAACAGCTGCCCTCCTGCATCTGCCCAGGGCGGGCGTGGCGGCCTGTTTCCCAGTTCTTGTGGCCCTGGCACCCAGCACGGTGCCTGGTAGGTGGGAGATGCTCCACAAAGGCTGGTCTAATGACAGGCGCTCCCAGACCTGCCTTCCGTGAGTCTTAGCATCAACCAGCAGGGTACTGGGGCCCCAGCCCCCCTCGCTCTGGGGCCGTCATCAGCGAGAAGACAGACGGACAGACAGGGGGCCGTCCCCACGCGGGTGTCCGTTCTTCCTCGCCTCCCAGCAGCTGCTCTGTGGGCCCTGGTGCTTCCCTTGCTCATTAAAGCTGCTCACGAGGCCAGAGGGACTGTGGCCGGGATTGGAAGGGTTGACCCCAGACCAGGCACTGACTCCCCCAGTCACTTGGGAAAACGATTTTCCCTTGAAATAGGGAGAGTGAAACTTAATGGAGAACTGTGCAGAATCTCACTGGTCCGTAAAGTCCTGAAATTCTTTCTTTTCCTGGAAGCTTCGTGTCAGCATGTCAGTAAATGTTCAGCTGCAGAGCCCTAAGAGGGATGGTCCCCACTGGATGACCCTTAGAAGAGTTACTGTGCAAATGAGTATTGAACAAACATCAGAATGAACGAGGCGCTGCTGTCTGTGGGACCTTGTTGGAGACAGGGTTTATGAGGCCCTGGTGACCTCGGGGGTGCAAAGCTGGGGGCTCCTCACCCCTACAGCCAGTGAGTGATCAGTCCTGACCTCCTCAGGGTCCACCTGGATGTCTTCTGGAAGAAGGCTCGATGCCAGTGAAATGGTGACTTTGAAAGGGGGCTTCCACCAGAGCGGGGCAGGTGGGGTCAGGACATCGGCCGGGGTCCAGAGGTGGCTCTCCGCGTGGTACCAGAAGCCGCGGGAGACAAGTCCGAGTGCACCAGGTCGGGAACGAACACTGCCACCTGGTCTGGACCAGAAGAGGGGCCCTGAGAAGGCCGTCCCTGACTCAGATTGGCCCTGGGGCAAGCAGCCTCAGGGGGCGCCCACGCAGACCCCGACATCCAGGGCAGCGCACAGCGCTCTGACTTGTACGGCGATTCTGCTCACCCCGGAAGAGACAGGGACAGAGCAAACCGGACTTTCTGGAATCGTAGCCCTTTCAGAGCCAAGTCAAAGCCTTAGACTCCTCCTCCCTGGGGCAACTGTCCCTGGAGTCTGTCCGTCTGTAAACTCACGTCCTCCTCCTGTGTCCTTCCCATGTTACAGGGTCAGGAGCCTTTCAACTCAGGGTCTCAGAATCTAGGTATGGCTTTGTGCTGACTCTTTTTTTTTTTAATGTCAGATTTTATTGAAGAATTTCCCTTTAATTGAGAATGTACTAACCCTCTCCCCCGCAGATACACACAATGATTTACATTTAAAAGATGATGTAGGGACTTCCCTGGTGGCGCAGCGGTTAAGAATCCGCCTTCCAATGCAGGGGACACGGGTTCAGTCCCTGGTCAGGGGATCAGATCTCACACGCGTGCTGCAACTAAGAGTTCACATGCCACAACTAAGAAGCCCACCTGCCGCAACTAAGGAGCCCGACTGCCACCACTAAAACCCGGCACAACCAAAATAAATAAATAAATAAAATTAAAAGAAAAAAGAAAAGATGGGGTAGAACAACACAGTGAATGGAAGTGAGACCCAAACATCAGACTGGCCTGTGGTCCGGCTCTGGTCGTGTGACCTTGGACAGTCATGTCGCTGCTTTGCCCCCGGTTTCCACACCTGCAAAATGAGGGCTCGGCTGGGCCATCTCTTCGGTGCCCTCCGGGCTCAAGTCCAGTGGCGCGGGCTGCAGCGCCTCCTGCTGACGGGCAGGCGAACTGCTCCATCCTCCTCCTTCCAGGAACCTCGGTGAGTTTTGAGGGTCCACGTGGCAGCCCGTCATCCCTAAAGGCCGCCTATTCTGGCAGAAAGGAACGCAGGGACACATGCGCTGGGGACCCTGGAGGGATGCTATCTCGTTGGGAGAAATTTCTTTTAAACTGGCTGCGGCCTACCACAGCTAGAGCTCAGCACAGCCCGAGCG